AGTGTCGCAGTGGTCTGTGCATCAGCAAGTCATTGCGATGCAACTACCAACCGGACTGCAACGACGCATCCGACGAGATGAACTGCCGTAAACGACTGATTTCCGTTGTGCGTTTTGAAACGCTTTCATTTTTTTGTGTTGTCTAGCTCCTCGCAACTGCAGCGCGTTCAGTATATTTGGAAGGCCGATGATAAACTGCAATTTCACCTCTCAGTGCATCTCCCCTAGTTGGATATGCGACGGTAGCAACGACTGTTGGGACAATTCTGATGAATATCACTGTCCAGGTAACAGTAATAAGAAGAGAAGTCAGCTTAAGCCGCGGGGCAAATTCTGCATTGATAAGCAATGATTTTGTCCCACTGTGCTAATGACTTGGCAGTCATTTACGGGAGGGGCATTCCAAATGTCCAGATCTTTCAAATCTGTCTCAGTGTCCCAGATTAAGCGAAACTATCACAGAAATTCTTCGAATGCTTATGTCTGGCGCACAATGCATGCAATTAAAGTTTATTTAAACTATGAAACATGACCTATTCTCTCGAACAAGATCGATATTTCTGGTGATCATTTGGAATCAGCAATAAATGACAAACTTAACTGCGAGAGATAAGTAAAACGGATTGCCAAAGAGCAAGCAGAGGGAACTTTACATGTTATGTAGTGGGAATTCGAAGCTTTCCAGTGCCAAAGAATCATCGCTGGCGCTCCCCTTGAGATACTCGTTTTGGGGTTATTCAGTGCGTGTCCAAGCGCAAGAAAGTTTGCTCGTTCACGCCATCATTAGTTGCTGCAGTGGTTGAGTACTGCATGCGTTATTTATCCATGTCCTGCAGCGAACGTTTGACGTCGAAATCAGACTCTTGTTGCGCTACTTTAAATGAACGACGATAGTTTCTAAGCGTCTGTGTCAGAGATATCCCTACCAAATGCAAATTTTTTCCATGGCACTTGTACGTTAAAGTTTTGTTAAAATAGAATAAACGCTTATCGAATATTTTTAATACTGAAAAGATGAAGAAATGCTCATGTTTAGCCTCACTGTTATAAAATATTCATAAAACTTCGATTTCAATTTTAAAGCCGGTATTATGTGAAATACACATCGTTGAAATCAGTGCACACGACACTCTAAGCCGAACGTTGTTTTTAGAGGTCTTGGTGGGAATTTAGTTGTTTTTAATACAAAGATATAGAATAGCACCAAATATTTTATATAGTTGATTGATGTCACCTTTCATTGAACGGAAATTTGCTTAAGTCACCATCTAGTTGATGGCTCGGTCATAGAATTAAAATATTGGCTTGTGGTTTGGATCATTGGCTCATGTTGTTCTGATGTCTTTAAACTGTTTAATAGATAGATGTAGCTATCATGTGTAGAATAATGGAAAGGAAGTCTTAATGTGAAGACAGATTTTATTGAACGGCATCTAAAATTTTAGTATTTCTGTTTAGTTATACATTTTTTTGTTTATAGTCGCTGAAAATGTGCGTCGTACCTGTGGCTCACATATGTTCACTTGTCTTTCTTCTTTCAAGTGCATTCCGCTCAACTGGAAATGCGATGGAGACAAAGACTGCTCAGATGGTTCTGATGAAGTCGGTTGCAGTAAGTTTCCGTTTGCAATGTGTCCACTCTATCACTAAACGAAATACGTTTATTTTTATCTTTGTTCTTCGCGGCGAATCTCAGCATGTGGGTAGCTCCCGCCATTGTTTTCGTAGTTGTAGTTTCTGCATTTATGTTGTACTCTTCCTTGGGGTGTACTTTCAAACCTAAGGTAAATTCAAAATTCATTCGTAAATTTCTTATTTACTGTTGGTACTTTATCCTGTTGCTCCTTATCTACTAGTAGTTGGTCCTTGATTTCGTTCAGTACTCTGTTTGTTCAGGAAATATGATCCTGTTCGCCTCGAGAGGCTCGTAAACCGACGCATTGACTAATATGGATGTCGGGAGTTTCCAAGTCGTAAGAAGGCATGTGATAGACCTCTAATTAGTCACAACGCCACAACTCTGGAACTCGTCCTTCAGGTCTAGGTACATTACTCCTTGTTTTAGCAAAGTAAGTGGTCCTTCATCCAGCACTTTCTGCAAAAATACTGTTATTGATAAATGCAAGCTAGTTAGCTGTTTAAGCCAGAACGCTTGCACCTGATTCGGTCCTTGTGCTGCCCAGTCTTCCATCTCTCTGAGCGTCAGGCGCAGACTGTTTACAGCAAGTGTGACCTCCCTTTGTTCGAAGATTCCATTTGCATTCTTTTGTATTTCTTGTTCCGACTTAGCTTTATTGTTGTGAGCTTTATCGTAGTCCCATATTTTTCTTCAACAACGTAGCGATTCTTCTACGTTAGGAACTACGGTCTCCGCATTACTTGCGGGCTTGTTCCTTACCTCCGATTTTCTATAGAAGGCTTTAGCGTCTTGAATGAAAGTTCAGATCTGTTATGCTCGAAACTGTTCTGATATGTCAGAAGCCTTGTCGATACTGCTAACAGCCTCTTTCTAGCGTCCTCACATGCAGAACTGACTGTTTTGTCTGGCTCAGTTATCTGCTTTTTCATTACATTCTTCGCTAATTTCGTTATGTCTTTCCTGTTAAGTTGTTGTTGATTTACTTCTCGGCGTATTTCTTCCTGTTTTTGATTTTTCTCAACCATTGCTACCTTTCTTTCTTGGATTTGCTTACAGATTAACAGAAAGTTTCTTCGTTGTTGCAAGAGCCGTCGCATATATTACTCTATTGATTGATTCCGCATTACTTGTTGATATCTTATTCAGGAAACTGTTAGCTTGAATTATATATTCATGCAGCTCCTTGTTTCTGATAAGAGGCATACGTCCCCTACCTTAAAGCGTTGAAACTCCTGATGAATCTTTTACCGAGGCGATTTTGTTATCATTCAATTGGATAACGCCTCTCACGTCAGCCACTTCGATCTTTGGTCTCATAGATTTGCCTGGGATGATTTCACTGATATATTGAGTTATCTGATTTTCTTTCGTTGTGACGTCACTCTTAAGCGCTCTCTTAATCTCATCCAGCTCCAGCTATGTTGGCAACGTATTCTTCTCAGTGAGCCGTTTGTGGTACGCTAGACTTTTCTCGGTTGCATCACTGAAGTGTGTATCTTCCTTCGTTCTTCCAGTATTCTTTTCTGATGGTACATACACTTCTTCACAGCGATGTAACAGCACCTCTCTATAGTTTTGTTTTCTTTTTTCAGCGACTGCTTTCGCGCCCTTCGCCATTCTGTAACGTGCCCAGGCGCAGAAAGGCATGAAGCACGTTCTGTTCGCCCACTTATTACAGACTGATCCATTCAGTTCTTCAGCAGCATGCGCAGCCCTTGGTAATCCGGCAGCAGAACAATCCCGTGTAGGAACATTTTCATTGTGATACACCGCACCGTAATGGGTCGATGGTTTATTTTATTAAGTCTGACCTCTCCCTTCAAATCCGTCCAACATGAATCGACATACCAGAAACTGAAGTTTCCGATGGCATACCTTCAAGGGTCATTGAACCGCACAAGTCCTGCCTCCTCGTCAAGGCTGCGATCTTGCTAGGGAAATATTGTATTATATAGTAATTTAGTATTAGTCAGTTAAACAGCCCTCAGCGAAATGTCCGTTCAGGATGCAGCTAAAAATTAAGCATATTTTACCAGCCCAACCGGTTTCAGCTTTATCATTTGTTATTTTGGTCAGGGTCTGAGGTTGGTTGCAAGTCCTAAAGTTAGTCAGTCAGTTTCGATGACTGCTTCGCCCTTCGGGTAGCGGGGGCAGGCTCTACAAACTGTCTCCAATGTTCCTGATCTCGTGCCCGCGTTTGAAGTTGAGCAGATGATAACCTGAGTCTATGGTAGATCCCTTCAATACACTTTCCGCAGGTTATTCTTGGTCAGACCTGTGGTCTTTTGGCGGTTAGTTGGGAAGGAAAAAGCTGTTTCGCTTTCCTTTCTGAAAGCATTCACGAGATGCGTCCAGACCGTCACAGCTGTGACGTCTCATTCCAGAGAAGCAGCCTCTGTACACCAAGTTTCTTTCGAATATCTGTATTCTTAACCATGTTGAGACGCGTGAGCCCCACGATTCGTCTCAGAAAATCATCTTCAGCCGCTTTTACCCGGGATCGAAGTTTTGTAGTCATGGCCCACGGCTCGTGACCGTAGGTGAGTATCAGAATGAAGATTGATTTGAACTCAGAGAGATTAGTCTTCAGACTCAGCCCTGCTTTGGTCACAACAGTTCAGTCTAGTTCGGGCAGGTTGCCGCTGGCAATTCCTATCCGACGTTCGATCTCTTCCTCCAACTTTTCGTCACCAAGATACACGAGTGTTACCTCGTGTTCCGCTTCCGTTTACACGTTTGCCGGTCACATCGAACCTGGCTGGGAAATTTTCCAGAGGGCTCTGGAGAGCAGTCTGAGAAGATGCCAACAAAACTAGGTCATCTGCAGATAGCAACATTTTCATCTCGACATCTTCAGCGTTGAGACGCTGATTTTCATGGCTGCACCTCACTATTCTATTCTTGTACAACATAAACATTGATAGGGAACTCAGCCCTGGCGGAGACAAGTGCCATCATTGAAAGCTCTAGACTTTACGCCATTTACTCTAACGCAGCACTGCTATCAGCGTACAGTGACTGGATGGCTCGTAGCAGCTGGCCATCTATCCCGTATCTTTATAGGAATGCCCATTAGACTGCTGCGTTAAATCCGGACTAGGCTTTTTCCACATCTGCAAAACGCAATGACTGGATGTGTGAACTCCCACGATTTCTCAACAATCTGGCGTAAGGTGCACTCTGGTCAGAGTTGCTTCGCTTGACTTGAGGCTGTACTGCCTTTCTTGTGCAGACCTTAAATGGCGATTGAGTAAAAGCCACTGGAAACAGGATCAGAAATTTGCCTGTTTTGCAGGGAAGCTGCAGGAGCTTTTATAAGTGTGATTCGGTTTTGTTTATTAATTACTTAGAATTAACCCTTTCCTAGTTTTGTCATAGTTGAATAACACTTTTCCAGATTTGAAAATTTGAAACAACCGGTTCTTAAAATGTAACGTAAAATGTATTTGAATAACAGTGTTGATTTTTGGTTATCGAAATATCACAGTCACCGATTGCTTTGACAATAGAGGATAGACCCGCACATTCGGCGAGGCCAGCGAATTCAGCAGTGTCAGACAGCGGATAGCTGACCCAAGTATATCGAGCAACTGAGACTTCACGTCTTCCAGTCTAGCCCGTGGACCAGCTGACGTGCCATCGTGACAACTGACAAACCATCTTCAGTCTCTTGTCACCTCGACCTTAAGATATGGTTGGCTTTGAAAATCTTTTAATTACAAAGTCCACAGCCTTTGTTCAATCCATAGAACAGATATGTATTTAGTGCTCGACTTTAGGATTTTGTGCCTAATTACTATATTTCCAACCTCTTTCGAATCATATCATTCACTACTGTTTTGGTTCTGTCCTCCAAAATTGGCTTGTTCTAATTCTTAATGACTTTGAATCTTATGTTTATGATCACAAGATAAAATTGTCAGAATTACCTTTTGTTTTTTGCTTCGGCGTTACTTTGATATTGGCATTTGTCTTTTGCCTGTATTTCGATTGTTTTGTCTATCGTTTCACTGTTTCTCAGAGCACGCCTGCGACGCCGCGCATGAATTCACGTGTCATGACAAAATATGCATACCCAGTAGTTGGCGTTGTGACGGGACCCTTGACTGCACCGATGGCGAAGACGAGGATCCCGCTATGTGCGGTACGCTGGCAATAAACGCAGCTCACGGTTATTGATTGCATGTGGAGGTTTGGCGCACTGTCGCTATTTAGGCTTGGACAAATGCGTCGAATTCAAGTGTCCGAATGGCAAGTGCATCTCGCGCGGTTGGGTGTGCGACGGAGAGAATGATTGCGGCGATCCCATGGCGAGCGACGAGTTGAACTGCAGTAAGTACCGGTCATCGCTTTATCAGGTTAACTTAAAGTATCATAACCTGGTAATTTAACAACCATACAAATCATACTCTTTTTTAACAGCGTGATTTCAACAGTTGGAAGCAGGCTTCTCGTTTTTAATCATTTTGAATCGAATAGAGTATCGATCGTGATAATAAATCTATGGCAGGACTGTCATGACATTATAGTGTTGTCTACGCTGAAACAGGCGTTGTTTATAATCATTCTTAAATAACTGCAGCGGGCGGTAGAAAATATTTTCCTAGTAAAATTGACGACTGTTAACTAACAGTACAGCGACCATGTTATTTTCTCCCTGAGCCAGATGATCAGTTACGTTTGCCGTTTCATTTACTACTTTACGCAACCCTCGTCGATTTTTATGCGGTCCTTGGTTCAAAGTCTGTCATTAATGGGTGCGTACACATTTGGAATTTCTGAACAAAACGTAATCGTACTGTAGAGATGATGCGATAAAGCGATTGGCGCTGCGAAATTTCAGGGATGTGTTTCGAATGGCTGGAGATCAAAAGCGACATCTGATGCTGGGTAGTAGTTTCGTTTTCATTTTCAGAACATCTAGTGGATTATTTCTATGAAAATGCGACAAACTGCCATTTAAAAAGGCCTGATGCTCGAACGGTAGTGAAACGCAGGATATTCTTTAAAATATTTCATGTATTCACTGACTTAAATTATGCTAATGAATCAGTCTTACTCTAAGAGAGCGACGAATGCATTTGCTCATCAACTAAAGCTTTCTGCATTACTGTAGCAAGAGTGCCTTCTGGCTGAACCGTTTGAGGACTAAGATGATGAGAATCTCATATGACACCGTGGAAACTAGGTGTTTTTTTTGGGGGGGGGGCAAAGCGTTTTTGCCCCGTCATTTCGAATGGCTCCACTTATGACAAGAACGTTAACAGTAGGACTCCACTGACTTTGTATACCTTTAAAGGCCTCTGTAAATTTTTAGTTGGAGATGAAGCGTCAGTCGATGGTAGGATCTATCTTTACCGTACTGTAGTCAGGCATTTGTGCTCTGTAAAGTAGAAACGACTGCTTTTTTAAGAATATACAAATGCTCTTCGAAGTCGCCGTCTAACCCGAAAAATGTTGTGGTCCAGTCATATCAGAGATGACCATGTTCTTCAAGTTAGCCAACCTTACGAACATTTCAGAGGTGCTCACAGATGAAGAAAACTGATATTCTGCTATTTACTGTAAACTGTCCTGGTCCCCTATGCTAGACAACTTCGACGTCGAAGACAAAAAAACATGGTCATTCTAAAGCACATCGCATGACAAAAGAAACTAGTCGGTAACCTCTTGTAGATAAAGACATTTTCTTTAGTTGATGCAAAAACACTGAATATTAAGACACCACAGCATTCTGACATTGCGCATTTAAACAATTTACAGTTCTGCTACGCGGTTACATGTGACAGACTGGATAACAAAATAGATTTTCATTCCTATTGATATTTTCTTATTCAACTTTTGCACTGGTCTCCGCCAAGGCTGCATCCTGTCCCCTATCCTGTTTGTGTTGTACATGGATAGAATAGTCAGGAGCTGTAAAGGCGATGAGAGTATCAGTGTAGGAGATGTGAAGTCGAGAAGGTTGCTGTTTGCAGACGTCGACCCTGTTTTATTAGCATCTTCTGAAACTGATCTCCAGTGTTCCTTAAAAAGGTTCGCATCCCAGTGCGATGTGACCGGCATGCGTGTGCACGAATCTAAAACGAAAAGCCAGATGCTTTCTCGCTCTCCTGTCCGTTGCTCTTTTGAGATGAACTGAGAAGCAGTGGAGCAGGTGGAGAAGTTCAAGTACCTCGGAACTGTATTTACTAGTA